CCGGACAATAGGAAACTATTGGGCGGAGCTAGCTGTCACTGCTAGCTCCGCACAATCGCTTTCTATTTACTTTTTTAAAACTTTTTTTTACTATTTTTCTGTTCTGCTTGGTCTTTCTGAGGGACCGAGCAGAACAGCCGAGCCGAATGCCGCTCAGCGGCATTCGGCTATTCACTCACTGCTGTTCGGGATCTATAAGAATAGGCCGAACAGCAGTGAGTAGCCTGCCGGATGTTTGGCTCAGCTGATCCAGATGTTGGATCGGCTGAGTCGAACTCCTTCTGCACTTCGGGTCGGCCGAACATGGTTAGCATGTTCGGCCGACCGAAGGCAATGCGAAGCAAGCCGATGTACGGCTGATTTCAGCCGATATACGGCTGAAATCAGCCGTACCAGCCTGAAGTGAATAGCCGAACAGTGTTTGGCTCACTTCACTTCAGGTCAGTCATTCACTTGGCTGCCTACGGCAGCTTACTGAATAGACCCGTATGATTTTTGCCTAGAGTTGGGTTTTAAAGGATTTATCAAAACTGGGGCAGACAGAATTTTGAGCAGTTGCCCATAGTAATTCAGCTTTTTTCTTTGATTTGTTCAGTCAAGCTTTGAAAATGGAAGATAGAAGTTGATTGGTTGCCATGGGCAACTTCTCCAGATTATGTCTTCTCCAGTTTTGATAAATTCCCATCTATGACTTTAGTACAGTTTTAGTGATTTCTTAATAATGTTGGTTTATTTATTCATTTTACAAGATTACCCTTATAATGTCTTTATATTGGTTTGCATAAATGTTCCTTGTATTTTCTTTGTACATTTTAAATAGTTATTTTCTTATTGTTTTTATTTCATTTACTGAGGTATAACATGGAGCTCAGTTTGCATAACACCATAGAAGCTGATGTAGTTGACCTTCGCAAAGGTCTGGACGGGCTGACGCTGGAACGATGTGAGTTGGAATTTCAGCTTGAGCAGCTTTCGGAGGACCTAATACTTCTGAAGAAAAACCACAATGAGGTATAGCTTCAGCTAACGGACAATCCAAAGACATTTCACAATTCTCAGACAAATACCATATCAGTGACATGTTCGTATGAGTTTGCTCATGGTTTTGTGAATGCTACCGTGTGGAACTCAACTCCCAGTTTTATCCAAGGTGTTAAATTTGTTGTAATGCTATGTTTCTGACACTGGAGGAGGTTTACACCAAAGACTCTTTGTGGCACCTCATGCAATGTATTGGGGTGTTTGGAGATATTATTTTTGGTTAATTAGAACAAGAGGCACTGGAGATGCATAACCACCATTTAATTGAGAAAGACAGTTAGCATTAAAGTTGAAATCTGAAAAGAAAGATACATATATATGTGACAAATCTGGTGCACTGCTTAAAGTAGAAGCCTCATCCCACATATTTTTGTATACAGAAGCATTGTACTTACACTGATCTGCTACAGGTGCTCCTATGGAGCACCTGTAGCAGTATCAGAAGTCCACAAGCTAATTGTTTGATCTTCTGGGCTTAGCGCTGGACCTGGCTATCCCTTTCAATGACTGCATAGTCTTTCATTATAGTAATGAATTGATTCAGCCTTTACAAGCATGTACATTTTCACTATGTTTTGTTGTACAATTATGTGTGTAAGTGGGGTCTTGCAGCAAATGACCTTTTAAGCATTATATTTACTGTTTTAATTAATATGTACCAATCCGTTTATGTTTTTTTTTTACATTATTGTGTTATTATTCAGCACTTAAAGTGACATTAAACCCTCAGATTTTTTAACATAAAACAATACTGTAATGTGTGCCTTACTGTAATCCATGGTAGTTTCTAGGAATGCACAGATACTTTTCGAGTACCAGTGCAGATACTTGGCATTTTCATGAGAACTACCAGGGTTGCAGCGGTTGCAGCTGGGACCTAGCTCTGGCACTCCACCTCTGTCCTGAAATAATTCGTCTGTATTGTTTTAGGAAAACTGTTACATGACAATAAACAAAAATGTATCAGTATTCGTACTTGTAAGTACTCGGCAAGTACCAGTACTCGTACTCGCAAAACTGGTATCTGTGCATCCCTTTATTTATATTTATAAAAACAAAATCATACGTTAAAACAGAGATGTACAAATCCCAGGAGCTCCGTGTGCTCCTTACAAATGGCAGCTGCCTCATAATTTTTGAATTTTTCTCTAGTGTAATCTTGGAGCTCGAAAGTATCGGTACATGTACTCGTACTTGTACCGAGTACTGTACTTGGTATCTGTGCAACCCTAGTAGTTTCCCTTCTCTTTGCTGCTCTTCCTTTTAAATCCTCATGTCTTCTCATGCTTGGGGAGAACTTCCCTTTGCAGCGGAGTGCCTCTTCCTGTAGTGCTTGCTCAGGTTGCAAACCTACACACAGACACCATGTATCCATTTCAGAGACAAGGCAGTCTGCTGCAAAACAGAAGTTCTGCCCAGCATGAGAACAGATACAGATTTAAAAGGAGGAGCAGCAAAGAGAAGGGAAACAACCATGGATTACAGTAAGGCACACATTACAGTATTGTTTTATGTTAAAAAATCTGAGGGTTTAATGTCACTTTAACTACCATCATTTTGGGCAGCCTCTTCATATTTGCTTCCAAACACTGTCCTTCCCTTTTTAAACTTTTCTTTTTTAAAAATCGAGTCCCTGCTTCATTCAAACTTTATCTCCCATCTAAAATTGTGTTGTTTTGCAGGAAGTGGACAACCTCAAAGAACAGCTGGGCGCCAGAATCCATGTGGAAGTGGATGTTGCTCCTGCTAAGGACATCAATAAAGTTTTGGCTAGTATTCGTAATGAATATGAAAGTTTGATGGAAAGGAACCTAAAAGATGTTGAGAAATGGTTTGTCACACAGGTAAACTGATACTCATTTTATTAGAGGACCTTTGGGAAAAGCTGTCCTTTATGGCGTTGTTCAAATTGTGTTGATGCAGTAAAGTATCGAGCATGGTGTGGTTTTTGGGCAACATTCTGATCATGGCTTAAATGCTCTCATATGAGGTGGCCCTCACCAAGAGAAGACACAAAAATCAGTAGTTAGCTTCAATCCAAAATCAGCAGATTGAATTCAACCTGCCATACAATCATAGCCCCACTCCACTGTAAAATTTGAACAAATGTATTATGCTCAGTACACACTTTACAGTTGTGTAGTGAAGCTTTGATGGTACAGCACATACGAAATATAGTTGCAGTGTAAACAAACCTTAAAGGTAAAGAGGCCCGACAAAACCCCTTAACTAGAAGATCTCAAAAACTGTAGAACCAGCACACGATGATCTTCTAAAGAAAATCAAACTTTATTCCACATGCATCTATACAAAAAAATAACCTCTGACATGTTTCTGCCTTACTCAGCCATAGTCATATCTATGACTAAGTCAGAGTAAAGCAAAAATGCTGGTTCTACGGTTTTTGAGACTATCACTCCAGAAGAAGGTAATCCGTACACCGAATGTGGATTACAAGGATGCATGACAGGGGTGAGCTGTGTACTTTGTGTTTCTAGTCATTAACTAGAAGGGCCATTTAGGGAGAGACCGCAATGTAATCTATTTTTTGCCATGGCTCCTCTCTAGTATGTTAAACTTTCCAATGCTAAATCTCCAGGAAGCAGGGTTGTTAATTATTGCCTGTTAGTAGAGATATCATTAGAATTCCTTTTTCTGCCATAGACTAAATGAGCATTTCAGAAACATTGTGGCCTTTCCTATTCAGGGCTGTCATTGTCTTGCTGTTACTGACCTGGAATAGGTATTCAAGAAAGTCAGATAACTATTAGACGTCCTTGTCAGCATATACAGTATGTTCTGGGTCCATGGGCTAAGAATTCTGATAATAACTTAACCTGTCACAGCTCTATTCTATTGCACCGTCTGGTAAGCTAGTCAGCATTACAGCCAGAAACTTTCATTTTCAGCAGCAAAGGTAGCCCCAGCAATGGCCAGCATCAGCAATTGTAGCTTCCATGTCATTGTCATGATATGTATTTAAAGTTAAGTAATATTTTATGAGAATGGTTTAAAAACTAATGTTGGGCTGTATAGTATCAACCATAAGGTGCAGATGTCATTTTACAGCCGAATGCACCAGTGGGGCAACCTGAAACAAACCAGGTTTTGCTGAACACGTGCATTCTTTTCTCCATATCACACTGGAGTCTTCAGCACTTGAGTGATATTAAACTACCAGAAGACAGGGTGATAATGTGTTTCTGTATGTTAGATATAATTATATTTTATACCAGACACATGATGCTTTTTTTCTGTGATGTTTCTATGTCTACAGAGTGAAGAATTAAACAGTCAGATGGTGTCAGGAGCTGAACATCTTCAAACAGTGAAATATGAGGTCATCGACTTGAATCATACAATACAGAATCTGGAAATTGACCTACAGACTCAGCTAAATACTGTAGGTTGACAGTACAAACATACACACACAGAGATGCAAAGAAACGGGCTTAATTCACTAAGTGTGTGATTTATGATAATGACCACAATTTTCAGTGATGTGACTGTTATTTGTAGCAATCATTGGCAATGATTACTGAAAATAACAATCATTATGACAAATAATGATTGCTTTAGTTTAGGTTATTATTCCTATAGAATGCTGTGCGTATTGAATTTAAGCTGTGTTGACATTGAAGCTCCATAAATGTACATAGACATGTATAGTTGTCACCTAAAGCTGAGTGCATGTAAACTTACATGCTTTATACAGGAATGTCAACCCTGGAGAACAGTTTATAGGGTGATATGGAAGTTGCACATTTTGTGGCCCAAAACTGGGTAAGGCTAATTTGTTTAGGGGTGTGGCCTAACATGCCCTGCAAAATGTGAACTTAAAATGTATCTAAAGTCTAAACTTTTTGTTGTTGTTTTTGGATGGAGTTAAGATTAGGTTAAAGTGGGTAGATGTTCTGAAGGTGACACTTTATCCAATGACAGCTGGTAAGAAAACAGTAACTGAAACAAAAAAATATACTTTTCCTGCATTTTGACCATACCATGTGGACCATACCATCTTGCAAAGTACAAGTCACCCATTAATTATGCAGTGAAGAGGGACATTCCCATCTCTGGCGATTGGAAGGAAATCCTGACAGGAAGAGAGGGGTATAAAATAGGGTGACTCTCTGGAGTCAAGGCTGTTTATAGAGCCCCAATGCCTTAGGAGCTTTAATATGGAAATCACATCTTCAGTTTCTGAAGGCATTGCTTACCCTGTTCCCTTCCATCCCCTGTATCTTACTACAGGTCAGTAAGGGTGTCGTGGTGATAGGTTGATAGTGAAGTTTGAGAGGCAACAGTGGTTGAGGCCAAGACAATTTTAGTGTCTGAAGTTACCACTCCCAGGGTTTCAGCAGAACCCTAGATGGTAGGCAAGCCTGTGTACAGGAAATTATAGGTCTCTTTTACATGTATGCCTGTGAAGTGTTAAGGTGGATACATGTTCACTTTAAAGAATTGTGGTGTGCGGTGGCCACCAACAACTTTGGCTGGACAGACTAATGAAACCTAAAATCTAAGTTGAAAGTATTTGTCTTGCCATATTAACTAATCAGATATCTCATTGGTTACTATTACCAGCACAGCTTGTTTATGTGTAAGACTCTTTCCTGCATGGAGTCAAATTTTTCCAAAAACTGACTAATACATTTTGGGTGGAATCTCCCCTTAAAATCTCCACACTGAACTCCCTACTTTGTTCTCCTGCCATTATAGAGTCCTACTACAGCAAGGGGCTAAGTTATCTGATGAGAACTTAACCCATCACAGCTCTATTCTATTACACCCTCTAGTAAAAAAAAAAAGTAAATTTGAAGTGCAAGTGTTTTCAGCTTCACTGCAATCCCACCTTGACCCACAGCCCTTGGTGCTAGTAGATTATAATCAATATGGCCTTGGGAATAGAGAAAAGATAAATAAAAATTAATTTGTAAACTTAGCAATGGTATTCTTGAAGTTACATTGCATTAAAAAACAAGAAATACATGGTGTGGCTTATTTCATTAAGGCATATGATAAATGTAATTAACATATATAAATGGTTTCAATTATTATATTAAATGTCGTAAAATAAATAATAAGCAGAAAAAGAAAACACAAAAAGAAAACATAAAGAAATATAGGAGGATGAGTATATTAGGTCTTGGTAATTTTGAGGAAAGCCTCTCACCCCATGATTCTTAGCACATACCATGCCATCTTTGTCCAGCCCTCGTCAAGCACTGACATTATTGGAGATGATGCTCCAACATTTGCTTCATTGGTCAAGCAAAGACTACATTTACACTGGATATCAGAGAAATCTAATTGATTGTGAATTACCCTTGTTGCAAATTTCAGATATCAGCTCTGGAAGGCAACCTAGTGGAGACAGAGAAGAGTTATAGTTCCCAGCTTACTGAGATACAAGAACTGGTTAATAATATAGAAGCTGAGTTGGGTCAGAAGAGATATGATCTGGAACGCCAAAACCATGAGTACAAGATCCTGACAGATGTAAAAACTCGCCTGGAGATGGAAATTGCAACATACAAACACCTTATGGAAGGAGAAGATATACCGTAAGTAAGAACAGGGCCAATTGGCAGTATAAAAAACAAAGACTTTTTGTTTCCATATAATGAACTATATATTACCTACTGTAATAAACTGAACACTGGCCATACGCTGTTCTATTTATTTTCCCTTGAATCCGCAGACTGAACGAAAAAAATAGAACAGATTCCTCCATCAACGCTCTGAATCCTCAGCTGTTTGTTTGTATATTCTGACAACAATACAAAGGAGTGTTTGCAGCTCAATGGTTGCAAAGCACAATTAATTTTGCAAAGCACAATTAATTTGAATATTTTCTGACTGAATCCTTTGATCAGCTGATCGAGGGATGCTGGCTGGAAGGGGGCATCAGCGGCACCTGATGTGCAAATTCTGGCCGGTTCATGAATAATTGGCCTAAATTCACATAGTGTACGGCCAGCTTTACTCTGTTTACAGCAGACATCTAGGATCAGATTTATACTTCTTGCCCCCTTAGGTCAACTTTCTTTGCTACCCCCTCCTAGCTCAAGAACAACATATGGTGGTTGCACATCATTCAGTACTTGGACATTGTAGCAATGGGTGTTGCAACAACTTGATGGTGACACCATCCAACAACACACATTTTTTATTTTACAGAAAAGTGATAATAATGCACCATGCATTGCCCTTTTATCAAAGCATGAGTGATCCCCAGTTGGCTGGCTAGCCTTAGTATCTTACTAGCAAGGTCAGACATCATAGCCAGCTGGACGAGAAGAGACTAAAAGAGAAACTTTGTCTGATCTGTGAGTACATCCAAAAAAAACAACCAGAGGAGTAGGGCCTAGTGTTGCCCTACTCCACTAGAAGTTCTAAGTGTACAGACCTAAAATGAATGGACTGTATAATGTTCCGCTGATGAAAAGCCACAGGCTGTGCAGAAGCATCAACAATGCAAATCTGGTTGAATGGCAATGGCAGGCTGGTAGTCTGGAAACTTTCACTGTACATGAGAATGTGTTATCAGCCATGTGAAGATGGCTATATGCTTCCCTGGCATCTCTGCTACTCTATGCTGCCACCTAGCTGGCTATGTAAAACTCTGACCAGGCTAAACGCGTAGCCTTTTGTAGCATATACCTCTGATTTTATGTTTACTTTAGAGGTCTCTTATAATGTTAATGTTGAATAGCTTATTGTCTTTGCTTGTTAAAGTCACCATTTGGAAACATCATTGGTTCTATTTTGGCTTTCAACAACTGCAAAAGCCTGCCAATTAAATAATATTTGACAAGACTAAGAATAGTTTTTTTGTTTTTGCACATTTTAAATAAAGAAAAGGGAATAGAAAGGTAGTCACTTGACATATTCAGATATACTTAGAGAAGGTAGCATTGTGCATTTGAGTTGTTTGTATATTTAGATTGTGAGCTCTCATGGGCATGGCCCTCTTGTCTTGATTTGTATTGTAACTGTAATGTCTTATATTGTAAAGAGCTGTACAAACTGTTGGCACTATATAAATCATGTAGAATAATAATATTTAATTCCTACAACAATAACTCACTTGTTTTTGTCATTAATTAGCATTTCAACGTTTCAGTCGACAGGAAGCAAAGGTAAGTGAAAGTTATTATGTAATTATATGTGATTATATACCCAATACTAGCCACTGAAATTGTCTGATAACTGCCCCCTTGACTTTTACTTTCAAAGTTATTGATAGACCTTTTGGGCCTTTAACTGAAGAGGGAAGTGTCCATAAAATGGCTGATGTATGTACAGTATGTGGCTGCATTTTAATAGGGCAGGTCCAAGTCAAGAGCAGGATGTTATGGTCTCCAAGTCAACAGTGAGTACAATGAATTATAAAGTAACATTTTTGGCAGGTACTCTACCTTTTGCAAGTATTGCTGGTGCTAACTTTTGAGATAATTGAAATATAATTGAAATATAGGTAAATGTAATTGATCACACCCAAAAAGTATACACTCAAAATAAAAATACTAAGCAACTTGCTGTTATACTGAACAGTAAACAAAAGTTAATCGTAAATTGAACATAAACATAACTCTTAATCCTAACCTTTGCCAAACAGTAGTTTGCCACCTTTGCCATACAATAGTTCTTAAAGCCCTTAAAGCCCAACTCTGGGCACATTTTTTACATTTTTAAATGATTAAGGCCAAATTCACATGGGGACACATGCCATATTCTGGGATTCCTGCTGTAAAAACCCATGGATTCCTGTGATAGGAATGCCAGGTGTCCCAGTTTAGATGTGATTGCTATACCCATTGAAGTTAATGACATGGTGACAGTGGCCGCATCCGTCAGCCAAGGTGCACATTTAATTGTAAATGGTACGAATACATGCGGTTTCAGTTAGATGATTGTCGCTGGATGCAGGATAGATGCATCCAGGGACAATTACCCTGTTTCCCCAAAAATAAGACCTACCCCGAAAATAAGACCTAGTACTATTTTTGGGAATTGCTAAAATATAAGACCTACCCCAAAAATAAGACCTATTTGTGATCATTCCTAGGGCCGGTGGTGGCATAAGGGGGAACTTGAAGAGAGGCGGGAGAGAATCAGTGGTGCCAACAAAGCCGGCGCTAGAGGAAGCGAGGCGGCAGCGCAGGGAACAGAGCCGCATAAGCCGATGCCTCCTCTACAGCGCCGGCTCCTGTCACACACGGAGTGATACCAAATGCACTCCGCCTGTAAGAAATCGATAGTGAAAGCTCGCTTCGCCCATTCAGGTTACCAAATTGCTCTTGGAAAGGTATGGCCCCCCTGATCACCCTATAACTTTGCCATTTTTAATTATTTAATTTTGGATTTGCATTAACTTTGGATTGTTGTACATTAAAAAAAAAAAATAAGACCTACCCCGAAAATAAGACCTAGTGTTTTTTTT